TGAAAAAAAACAGAAAGAAAAAATCAAAAAGTTTTCGGCTAATTCAGTTCAAGTCGCGACTTAAAGTGCAATGAATATGGAAAAATCGAAAGCTACTGCAGAGATTGGTCTAAAATTTTCCAAATACCTTGATAGGGGTGTATGAATTTAGTGTTTTTACATCTGTTAACATGGAGGCAAGATCTTCACGGCCTGGAGAAGAAAAAATAATTAATGAAATCTTCATTCGCTCAATATCATGGAATAACAGCATTGCATAAAGTTAAAAAAAAAAACTTGAATTTTCTTAAAGCCAAGAAATGTTGATTAATAAAGAGAATATTAGAATTTTATTGACACAAAGGCGCTATTAACTCTTACGAGTACACTGTCTCTGTAACTAACTAATAGTCAAAACCGCTTCTCGGTCTCCTTGGCGTGATGAAAATTGGAATTTTGCTACTCCTCCCAGAATAGTCCTTGGCACTTTGTCCAGGTTCTCTCAAAAACTCGCCGGTAACAATTACAATATTTGGTGGTCCCTGGCCACCATGTACCATAATCACACCCCATGATTCAGAGTCCAGTGCGCTGTCCATTAAGTCACCGCTGACCAGTTGAGCCGCAGCGTCTGTCGCAGTGAAGACATAAACTTTCACTCCGCACCACTAAGACAAATTTAACGCCAAGACTCTACCATCCTACCTAGAAGGCACCAGTACACAATTTCTTTTTACCTATGAGCTGGTAAGCACTAGCTGGAAGAGTGAGAGGAGGGTCGTCTGCGGACTGGTGAAGAGCTTCTCTAACTGGCAGAGCGACTCCAAACGGCAAACAGTCGATGTCCTTACAAGTCACATCTGACAGTAGATGGAAGAATATTGGAAGTTACTCATCAAACCACATAATGGTAAAGGGAGATAAAAGATTCTTAAAAAAGTACAGTATGGTTCAGTATGGTAAAAAGTCAAAACTATACTCGAGCCCAGTGCCCTACCCAACCAGAGCTTATCCCGGTCTCCTTAGCTAGAATCAAATAAGACTATTACTACTCCATCCTGGTAGCATGAAGCAAATAGGAGTATTACTACTCCCCCCTGGTGGGATGCTGGTCCATCACAATGTTACTCCCCAAGAGTCAGACTTCCCTGACAATTCGCAGGTACCCTTTTATACTCCTGGGGCGAGAGTAAAGTGTTCTGCCCAAGAACACAACACATTGACCTGGCCAGATCTCGAACCCAGACCTCTCCACCCGCCCGAAGACCAGCGCACAAACCATTAGGTAACCACGTCTTGCACTTGATAACGGAAGATAAAAGAATTGTAAAAAAAAGTTACCCATCAGACTACATTATGGTAAAAGACCATAAAATAATTTTCAAAAGTAGGGTAGTATCCTTACCCCTGCTCGCAAGGAATGCGACCACTTTATCAGCATCAGAATCAAAACTGAAAAATAAAGGTTTTCACAACTAATTTTCCCTTCTGGCTGCTATACATTTCTTTCTTCTTAAATTAAGACAATTTGGTAATGCACTAACACTACATGAAGTTAATTAAAAAAAACAGAGATAATAATACTTATAATTTTATTAAACATTAAAAATAGGTACTTAAATTACAGAAAAAAATTGAAGTAAGAATTAAGCACATTAAGGACAATAAGAATCCCGTAAATCATAAATAATAACAATTTTAATATTAGTATTAATAAGAATTAAGCAGTGGACTTTCCAAGAGGTGGCTCTTCTTATTCATTAATTGTTTCTGGACGTTAAGGTTAAAAACAAAATCCAATAAAAGTTGAGTTACTCGTCAATCTTAGTGCATCTTTACATGTGAATTCTAATTCTACCCGTAACAATTAAAAATTGCATTTCAATCTTACCAGCTGAGCTTTTCCTGGGTGGTTACAAATGATTCCTTGAAAGTTGCAATCACCTCTTCTACAGGAAACAAAGTCAATTAATGGGCTTTGAAATTTTGTCAAGGCTTACACTTATGAAGTTATCCTTTTGGAACCTAAAATCAGAGGGCAGATAACGCTATGCAACGGATAAATCACCATCTAGTGAATAAGTAATAGCAAAACGTGACGAGCTATCCTGTGGATGGAGGTTTATCCAGTGGGCAGCGTTCTTCTCGCCGTTAAAAGAAATATTTTAGTTATACTACAATAACAAGACCATGACAAGAGATACCTGAGTTGCAAATACATTTGAACAATTTGTCCGCATCATCTGCAAGGCTGTTTTTGTCTTCCATTTTAGTGAAAAGAGAGTACAGCTTTGACATAAAAGAAAAGACAAACAAACAAATAACAACATTACGGAGTAGGAAATAAAAAAGCCGCACAGAAAAAGTATATCAAAATGAAGACAGTATATTGTAAAAAGTTAGATGAAAGTAAAGCTTGAGATTAAATCAAACTTTAATTGGATTTTTGCATAAAATCTTCCCGTGGTAGCAGTGAAGTGGGTGCAATGCTAAAGATAAATGAGTTATTGGGCCCCGTTCAAAAATTAGGTCTGACTTTATTTGATAACTATATACGATGATACTGTTTGGGTGGTCAGAACGTTGCTGAAAATATAGCTTTTATACTTTTTTAACGTTTTTAGGTCAGATCCAATATTTTAAAGTTGTAATGTATATGATGATTTCTAGTCTTTTAAAAGTAAAGAAAAACGATGCTCACCATTACAATATTGTACGTGTGCTTGGTAGTTCCTGGTAGCACAGGGAAGGGTTCAACCTGGTGTTTGAGGCAAAAAAATGTAAACTTCACTTTCAATTGCCTTCTTCCTAATAAAGAAAGATCAATTCTTCAATGTTTGGGTCTCATTTCTCTCTTACCGGATGTCCATTAAGAAAGTTATACAGCCATTGGTTTACACTGGGAGGCTTCTCACACAGAGGATGAAACATCGCACTCTGCTGCTCTGTAACAACACCATCGATGAAAAAATTCAGCGTTTGGAAATCCTCAATGATGATCAAATAATTCTTAGTCACACACGTTGGGATGTAAAAGACGAAAACCATACCCACATTTCTCACCATAAAGACCATTACAATACCCTACTGCAGAGGCAACGTTTTTTCTCATTTGTACTTTAAACAAAAGGAAATCGTAAAGCTTTTTTCCTGACCCTGGTCAGTACACCATAAAGCGGAGCTCACAGCGCGCGCAGCGGAGCTCACAGCGCGCGCAGCGTAGCCCCATACCTTTAACAGTTCGTTTAACCATTAAGTCGAGAAAATTTGGCCATGATTTCACTCAGCGTTCGTCCATACGTCTGTCCACATAAGATGTTATTGCAATAATGCTCCTTGACAATCCTCTCTTCAATTGATTATTTCAATGAAGATTTTGCTACATGTTTCAACGCTGCGCTCCATTGTCGAAAAAATCACACTAATTCAATATAACCTTCGATGTTATCCTGAGCAAGTCGTCAAACTGTGAGATTTTGACTACGTCTGTAAAGTTAGTTGGGCACATTCACTAAAGATGCGAGATGGACCAGTACACATTCAAGCGCAGAAATGTTTTATGTTTGTTTTATTGTAATTGTTCCAAACACTAAGCAATAACTTGATGAGGTTAAGCGTGATATCATGAATTATCAATTCCGAGGGCTGGGTTATCGAGGGGATTAGAATGATAACCCAAGATCTACTGCAGATATTGTGTTATTATGTCAACTTTACACGTTACTGTGTAATGACTGAGTGCTCTCGACCAATCAGAGTTTTCATAGTACGTCTATTTATAATAATACCTACTATCATGCACGCTACACAAACCTATGGATATTATTTCACAATTGTGCTAAGAAACACGCTTCGTAGGCTCGAGAAGCGCTTTACCTCTTGTGATATGGAAAGGTTTATCCCGTGAACCAATGAAAAGAGAAGGAAAGTCCCTGCAGTAATATTCAACATAAGCATGCCAACCAAGAGCTCTGCAATACCAAGCACACATAAAACTCATCAATACAGAAGTTCTTACAGTTTCTTGATTGAAACAACTACAAGTTAAGGTCAGAAATCATCTATGTTTATTGCCTAGCCGTTGCTTTTCCAATTAACCATAATTGAAGATAACAAAATTAAACATACTAATAATTTTATTTGGATCTGAGGGGCCAGAGGCTTCCCACGAAAGTAAAAGTCAAGGCTAAGTTGTCTTTTACTTTTACCACTGACGCAATTATGCTATTGATCGCAAGTCCAGGAGATGGTGGGTGAGAATGTTTGTTAACTTTTTGGATGCAATTATGGTCATTTACATTAGCCAAATGAGAGACAAATTAAGTAATCAGGGATTGTCCGTACGAACTATCATGAATTCATGAATGTGCTGAAATCAAATATTAATATCAAAACTAAAAGAACTTCAATTTGTTTATGATGACCACTAACAACTCACAATGCAAGGTGACAAAGAAACCGGGCCAAAGGATAAAGGGAATCTTTACCAAGAACACTTAACTTGAGGTCCTATAAAATGAGAAAAATAATCTTAAAGTAAATTTGAGGCAATGACAAAATATCAAAGTCAATCAAAAGTCTAAAAAGTCCAAAATACCTCATAAATCAAATGCCACGCAAACAATATAGAGGAAATGTGATCATGAAGAAGCGCGTCTTTTTCAATTCTAAGTAAGTAAAAATATACTTGTTCATTTTTTTAACCTGAACAGGAATTATCTCATTGAAAACAAAATATATATGATTTAGATTTGTCTCCAGTTGATATATACAAAGTTACAAAATACTCAAGTCCAACTGATTTATTCTGCTTCATCCAACAGGCCATCAAAGATTTCCCCAATGTTCTTTTGGCCCCACATGCAACATAGTTTTACTAATTTAATAAATGCAAAATTCACCCTTAACCTAAACATACTCCAATTTAGCTGCGAATGTGCAAATTAAGATCTCTGGAAGATCTAAGCGTTTGCTAATTATTTTTCATGCAATTTGTAATTACTTAAGTCGTCCTTTATTTTTTCATACCTCCTCGTTAGCGTTTTTCTTCGTCAGTTGCACCTTTTTGCACGTTTCTCATACCGCACGTCATTTTGCAGTCCTCTTGTATTAAAAGCCAGTTTCTTTTGTACATATATACTTTTTCAAGTCAGTTTACCTAAAGTCGCGCTTTGCATAGTTCTCTGTTTAGAGGTCTTCCAGTTATTCGTTATCGCAGTTATATATTAGGCATTATCAATGAAAGTGGACACAAAAAACCAGGAACCCCCTCCCCCCACCCCCTTAGCTTAAGGTCTGGATCCGCCCCTGTAGTTGCACGATCACTCACTGCATAGGAAAGGAATGCTTCTTCTCTTCTGGGGTCTCTTTGTTTTGCAATGGTGGCAATCCAATGCCTTGCCTTGACATGTTTTGATGAAAGTCACTCTCAATCAACTTTTCCCAAGCCTAAAATTTAAAGCAACACAAAAAATTCCATTATGAGTGTGTAATGATATTTTTATGCTAAGGGGAATCCTCTACTGCTGCTAAAAGTTACCAGCACCACATTGAACAGACACTGTATACAAATACAAGAAATACTGATGTTTTGCACTCCGTAGTACGCACAATTTTGGATCGTATGGTGTCAAAAAGTTTCCACTATCACAGTCAAACACTAGATCTTTTGAGGATGAGAGCGATCTTCACAGTTACAAACACTACTTAAGCAGTAGTGAAAATGAGGCCTGAAAAAAACCAGGCCTGTACGGGATTCGAACCCAAGACCTCTGCGATACTGATATAGAGCTCTACCGACTGAGCTAACAAGCCAACTGGGAGCTGATCACGATGTTCGTTCGTATTAAACTCGTCGAAGTGACATAAATCAGTGAATTTTTTCTTTTTAATATTTTTTTCAGGCCTCATTTTCAATACCGCTTAAGTAGTGTTTGTTACTGCGAAGATCGCTCTCATACTCATTCTTTAACCGCAGTTCAAATATATGACTTACATATATTCACAAACGTTGAATAGATCTTTGCTCAAAGAGTACTGATGGGAACATGCAGAAAAAAGTGGCAGCCATGAAATCAATCATGAAATCAATCATGGTGGCGGGCTTGAGATTCAAGTTTCAAAAACTTCTCTCTGTTTCAATTTTTCTTACATTCAACACTTTATTCCGATTATTCAATGCTGTGAAATTTTAGCGCTATGAATCACTCTTGACATGACAAGGACACTTTGCTCCAAAAGTAGGGCACATGGGTTGGAGCAAAAGTAACAGTTTTGATAGAGAAGAGTGATGTCGTTCTAAGGGGGGCTTCCATACCACTTACAGGAGTAGGCATAGAGTAGATTGGTTCACTTAAGAGGTATCCGTTAACCCCTGCCGATCAAAAAGGAGAACTTTTGTAAAACTTTAACCGTATGTTTGCCCTGTACCTGGTCCTCTGCCTGAGTTTTGGATTTTTTAGCTGCAGGCAATTCTGGTGAGTCACACTGCTGAAAAAAAGAAAAAAAAATCACTTTTAAATTAGGCAAGATATATTTATAGAGTGAACGGCAAAATTTACCTCAAATTCTCCTTAATTTACTTTTTGAGGCACTGATTTCTCGCAAAAGCACCTTGCATGTTGTAATTTCTTATGATTTCTGGATAGGTAAGATATATATATCTTATTAACCAAGCGCGAGGGCCGTACTGGGAGAATATCGGCCCGAGGTCTTGACAGTACGGACTGAGCTGCGCTCGGTCCGTACAAAAAAGACCGAGGGCCGATATTCTTCCAGTACGGTCCCGAGCAAGCTTGGTTAATAAGAGATTTATTATACGACTGAAGTTCAAAGGGACACAAATGCGGTATCATTCGGGACCATTCTGGACAGTGCCCGGTCCAATACTGAGAGAATATTGACCAGCGATAGAGCATTTTGATTGGTTGATTTTAGTTATTGGCCCTCTGACTGCCCGATGTCGTGAAATAAAGTGGCCTAATGATTGATGTGCTGGACTCTTGGTCTCGGTCTCGTTCCCGTTCCCCTGGCCGGGTCATTACGTAGTGTTTTTATTACAAAACACTACTCTCAGACTTATCGTGTCTCTCTCCACCCATAAGTAAAAATGGCTACCAGCGAACTGTACGAGTAAGTATGCAAGTAAGTAAAACCTTTATTTAAACGCGATAAGTATTGAAGCTATGCAGCTTGTGGGGTCGTGTATAAATAGATAAATAAAAAGATACATAAACATTAGTTGTAATACAATATAAAATAAGACTTATGAGTAAACATAAGATAATGTTTAGATTAATAATTGATAGTATTATCTAACTAATAAAATTATAAACCTAAAAATACTTCTTTTAGGAAGGAGCTATCTTTTACAGAATAAATTAGAAAAGTCAATGTCCCTGACCAAAGGAAGCTTTTTAATCATCCTGGAGAAACTTTTCACACTATGCGCATTACGACACTTGATTTGCAGATAATTCCACAAAACTGAACCTCTATAAGATATGGAATGCTTTTGATATTCGATTTGAAAGGTGGGATTTCCAACTTAAGACTGTTCCTTAAATTATTTGAGGTTTGCGATTTCACAATATGTGCTGTCATACAGGATGGTAAATCACTGTGGTACATCTTATAAGTTAGTTTCAGGATAGATTGTTTATAGAAAGTTCTTAAAGTGTCCCATTTAGCCCTGGTGAGGACCACCGCTGATTGTATTTCCTTAGCGAAATTGTAAATGACTCTTGCTGCCCTGCAGTCCGGGGGGGTATTCGATATATTCCTGGGTGGGGAGGTAATCTTTCCAGTGAGTCGAGGTCGTCTTGTCGGTTAGTACCTCCCCATATGGATATGCCCTACCTTACTGCTGGGATTATAACTTTAAAATACAGGTTTAAGGGATCCTGTTTAAGTAAGAATCTGCTCTTCTTTAAAAGGCTTAGTTTATTAGCGAAACTCATCTTCAGTTCCTTTATGTAAGTGGACCAGCCAAGCTTATGATCGATGGTCACACCCAGAAATCGACTATGTGTAACCCATTCAAAGTTGTTACCTCCGAGGTACGTGGGTGGTAGAGGGCCAGTGAAAGATCCTCTATAAATTAGCATACATTCTGATTTCTTTGGGTGCGGCGTTTGCCTGTTCTTCACGCGCCAGGCATACAACTCTTTTAGGGATTGATTTAACGCAGCTGCCACTTCGTCTATAGTCTTCCCAATACAGTATACGAGGTACCTAATATATATCTTATTAACCAAGCGCGAGGGCTGATATTCTTCCAGTACGGTCCCGAGCAAGCTTGGTTAATAAGAGATTTATTATACGACTGAAGTTCAAAGGGACACAAGTGCGGTATCATTCGGGACCATTCGGGACAGTGCGTGGTCTAATACGGAGAGAATATTGACCGGCAATAGAGCATTTTGATTAGTTGATTCTAGTTATTGGCCCTCTGACTGCACGAGTCGTGTAATAAAAAATGTTATTGGACTGGGGAGCAGCCCACCCGGAAGGAGTATCAATACTTCTAGTTGCTTCATTCTAAAACAGCTGAGATAAGCTCCCGTGCCTTTAACCGCCTCCCGGTTAGCTCAATGGATAGAGCGCTGGACTGTTGTGCGGGAGGTCGAAGGTTCGAGCCCCGGCCGGACCAACACTCAAGGTCTTAAAATAATTGAGAAGAATTTGCTGCCTTTCTATAACATCAAGAAATGGTTAGATATTCTAGTCTTCTCGGATAGGGACGAATAAATGGAGGTCCCGTCTCCTGCAGGGTTGGGGTAGGAGACGTTAATTTCCCACACACGAAATTACTGTGTGATGGATGTCCTCCCCTGGGGTGGGATGGGTGGGAAGGTGAGATCGATAGACTGAAGCGGCTGCCAGAAGCGCCTGATATGCTGATTTCCGTTCTCAACCTTACATTGCACCCGTAATTCAGCCTCTGGGCTGCAAGTGGTCAGATATAAACTATATTCATATTCAACTATATACACTTTAGGGCAGCGAAATACGAGATACAAAAACCCTCAAGTTGTCGTGTAACATGAGCAAATTTGTCGTGCGACAAGTTAGCAGCTTGCTGAAAAATGAGCAACAGGCTAAAATTTGTTGCTCACAGTAGACCCTTCAAAGCAACAAATATTTTTGTTGTGCGACAAGTTGATCACGCAAAGTGAAAAAACGCGATACAAGGGCCCAAAACTTGCAACGAAACAATGTTGCACGACAAGTTGAGGGTTTTTGTATCTTCTATTTTGCCACCTTAAGGGCCATTTGGCTCTGAATGCATATTTAACTGGACGCCACCACAGTAAGGCAGTTACCTTCAGTTTGTCCTCAGTTTGAAACCCCATTAGCCCCAAGACACACTTTGTAAACCACTCCCATTCTTTTCCACTATCTTGCAAATGAGGCGCTTGGGCCATTGCATAACAGGCCAAGTGAGTCTGAATCACCAATGGCACAGGAAGAATGTACTTCAAAGCTTCTAAACAACCTGTAACTGAGCATATGGAAGGAGCAAAATCGAGCAGTAGGTATTTGAGTGAGGGAAGATGCAACCTGATAGATTTGGTGTGGTACCTCATCACAGAATTTCGTGTACTAACCTGCCAAGTTTTGGGACAATGTAGGAAGTGTAATTCTGTAGATTGATCCGTCTGACATTGCCTTCAAAAAGGTGGAAATGTTTCTTAATTCATCATTTTATCAAGTACATTTGAGAGCTCTAGGAAAATTTATGTTAGGTATTTAACGAAAAAAAAATTCTTAAAGATTCATCATACAGCATATGAGTGTGGCTTTGGTGGCCAAATGATCGTAAAATTTTGGAAGAATACCCTTGCCAGTTGACACTCATAGTTGTCTGAAGTTCAGATGATAAAGCATCAAACTACAAAATCAGAAGGTCTGTGGTCTGAATTCTCGTAGAGGACTGAGACTTTTTCCCTTCCCTCTCTCATGCAAACTACATGCTGAACATCTGTCTTCACTTTCTTCTTCCCAACTATCATTATAAGATAACCGAAACAAAGCGCGCGCTCTGATTGGTCAATTCAGCGTCCTCCATTTGCCCTTGGGTGTACGCTGCTGACGTGAGCAAATGCAAAGACTATTTTTTCGTGCGCGCTTGTTTTTTTCTGGTCACGTAAGATTTGTTAAATAAAAGGGAACTCTTTTGCTACTATGTATC